TTTCGCATGCTGACCGGTACTGCGACCCCAAAAATTCATCACAGATCCCAAAACCTCCCAAAATTCATCAGGGATCTCAAAAATCCATCAAGGATCCCAAAATCCCCTGCTGGGGACAATCCTGGTGTGTCCCTTAAGGAGTTGAGGACACCCCCAGGATGTCCACCTGTTGAAGTGTGCTTTCTTTATTTGGCAGGTTCTCTGTGTAATTTGTGGTTTTGCAACCCCTCTGTATTGTCCTCCCCATTATTCAGTTTAGTTCTGTTTGTTACCCAGCTACTCCCTGCCAAGTTTCAAACCTCCACCCCTTCCCAGCTGTTAACCCCTCCTGCCCCTACCTTTGCCCCAGACCCTTCCTTACTCCTCCTTCCATTAAATGTCAATCCCTGCCCGAACCTGCCCTCCCCTTTAGAAACTTCCCTGTCAGTTTTGTATCCTTCGAAACCCCATTGGTTTACTCAAGCTGTTCTCCTCCCTTGAAGTCCTTTATTGGTTTACACATTGTATTCCCTGCCTTGTGTCCCACCCCCAGTTCCCCTGATTAGCTAGAGATTTTATCCTCCCCGAGACCCCCCCGTTTATAAGCTGTTGTCTGCCCTCTGTTCAGGGTCCTGGGATCCTGGACTCGCATTGCCCCTCAGCCCGCAGGGCAGGTTTTGCCCCCCAGCAAGGCAGCACGGGCCGGATAGCTCAGTCCCTGCTGGGGACAGAGAGCCCAAATACCCAGGCTGCTCGTAGCCATGGCTACCTTAAGCAAGCTGAGTGGATATCAGCTCTTTAGTGATTATCAGCTCTCTTGGAATTCCAGCTCCTTGCTTGCTAAGGTGCCTGGCAGGCTATTGGGGGAAGCAGACGAGAGAGGAGAAGAAAGGTTCTGGCGTTCCACAGCGATGGTTTTATTGGGGGGTGTGTGAAGGGTTCCAGCGACGGCTCTTCTTCTGCCAAACGGGCTAAAACAGCCCCTTTTTATAGGGTACAAAGGGATCCAAACTTGTCCAATAGTAGGGATTGGGGGAAAGTGACCTATGGGGTTACAGAGATAAGCTGGGGTCCGAGAGGCGGAAGACAGGAGCTTATTTTGCTATTTCATCATGACTCAGCAATTCCTATCGCTGAGCCTCAGCCCTCCATGGGGCCCTGGCCAATTCCATGGAGCCTGCTACAGACTTAGGAGTTTTACCATTGAATAAAGTTCCCCCAGTTCCACCCCAGGGCCGGTGCTGCTGCCTTTTTGTTTCTGCGCCGAACCTCCACTGGCAGCTGGGATTCTGCGGAGCTCCAACGGGGGCTCTGTCGCGCCCCTGTTATCATCCAGCCGGGACTCAGCGCCCCGCGACAGATCCGCCACATCCACCCCTCCCCGCCCTGTGTGTCCCCCGTCACCCTCCCTGCCTTGGGGACATTTGGGGACACCCCTCTCACCCAGGTGTCGCTTCTGGGGGTCCCTGGTGAGCTGCATGGCCGCGGCCAGGCCGATGCCCTAAGGTCCCCATTCTAATACACAGTTCAGTACACACAGCACATCTCAGTCCATCCCACAGAACACAGGCAATGACCCAAAGTTAACCCTTCCCCAGTTTCTCCCTCGGAATCTGAGCAGTGAAACTGCATCTCAGTCCCTCCCACACAACACAGCCAGTGAGCCAAAGTTAACTCTTTCTCAGCTTCTTTCTCAGAACTTGGACAGTGAAACCCTGGCTGCGTGTCTCTTAAAAAGCACTGGCAGTAAGCCAGAAGTAACTCTTTCGCAACTTCTTTCACAGAGCCTAAGCAACATAACTGCCCGTACCCCAAAACACAAACACTGAATCCACACCAACAGAGCTTTCGGGAAACTAATATCTCTGCCGCTTACAGGTGACGAAGGGACGGAGGTTGGGTTTACCTATGAATGCTCACAAAAAACAAATCAGGAGATATATTAATCACAGCTATCACGGGCCCCAAAAAAGTTCTGGTAACCTTCATAGTTGATACGGGAGCCCAGATCTCCGCACTAATGCATAAAGCTGCCCAGAAGTGTGGAGTTGTTCCAACAAAAAGGCAATGCTGCGTTCTTAATGCTTTAGGAAGTATAGAACCCATGATTGTTGCTTTAGTCAAAGTAACACTCCCTGGAGAGGAAAATCAATTAGTTGTCAAAATGGTAATTGGGGACATTCTGAACAATCTGCTAGGGATGGATGTCCTTGCAGGAAGGCAGTGGGAAGACACTGAGGGTTTTCTGTGGTGTTTTGGCACTCCGCCACTTAACATTAGGCTGCTTCAGACTGCACCCGCACTGCCTTGCAGTAAAACAATCAATGTGAAACAATATCCTTTGCCTTCTGGAGCTAGGGAAGGCATCAAACTGCTTATTCAAGATTTGCGTGACCAAGGAATAATAATTAACACACACTCCCCTTATAATTCACCCGTGTGGCCAGTCCGAAAGCCCAACAGGACGTGGAAGCTCACGATTGATTATTGTAGGCTCAATGCCAACACTGACCCTCTGACTGCAGCAGTGCCAAATTTAGCTGAATTAATAACATCAATACAAGAAAAAGCTCACACAATCATGGCAACGATAGATGTCAAAGACATGTTCTTCATGATACCTATACAGCCAGAGGACATGGACCACATTGCATTCACATGGGAGGGACAACAGTACACATTCACTAGACTCCCTCAGGGATACAAACACTCTCCAACTCTAGCACACAATGCTTTAGCTAAGGAATTAGAAAAAATACCTAAAACTGACACTGTAGCTGTTTACCAATACATTGATGACATTTTGGTAGGAGGAGAGGAAATTAAGGAGGTGGGGGATCTCCAGCAGAATATAATCTCTCATCTGGAGAGCCTAGATTCAAAGATTCCCCCAGAGAAAATCCAAAAGCCTTCTCAGGAAGTAAAATTTCTGGGAATTTGGTGGTGATCCGGAAGCACGTGTATCCCACCTGACACTTTAACTTCTTTAGAGCAGATGAAAATGCCTGAAAACAAAAAAGACCTCCAGCAAGCCTTAGGACTGTTAGTATTCTGGAGGAAACATATCCCAGATTTCTCAATCATTGCTAGGCCCCTTTACAATTTACTAAGGAAAGAAGTCAAATGGGATTGGACTCCTTCTCAGGAGGAAGCATTACAATTACTGATTTTTGAAGCCACAGCACATCAGGCATTGGGGCCCATTCATCCTAAAGACCCTTTCCAAGTGGAATGGGGATTTGCCTCCTCAGGCCTATCAATACACATTTGGCAGTGAGGTCCTGAGGGTCCAACAGTGCCTGTCAGCTTCTTTTCCCGTGGTTTTAAGGATGCTGAGAAAAGATACACTGTTTGGGAAAAGGGATCGTTTGTTGTTAGCTTAGCTCTCATTGAAGTAGAAAAAATCACACGGCAGCAAGCGATCATCTTGAGAGGTCCCTTCAAGGTAATTAAAGCTGTCACAAATGGGACCCCTCCACCTGATGGCATAGCCCAAAAGTCGTCAGTCAGGAAATGGTATGCCCAAATAGAGTACTATTGCAATAGCTTTCCTGTCACAGAAGGTGCTGCAAAATTCTTGGCAATACAAAACACTGAGAGCCTGGATACCAGCCAAGACAAACCTGCTTCTGTAATAAAAGTAGCACCACTCTTCTCATCTGAGTTAGCAGCAAACTGTTGGTTTACAGATGCTTCTTCAAAGTGGGAAGGAAAGACTTGGAAATATAAGGTGGCTGCCTTACATATTTCATCTGGTGAAAAGATTATCACAGAAGGGGAGGGCAGCGCTCAGGTTGGAGAACTCGTAGCTCTCTGGAGTGTTTTCCAATGTGAGGCACAGAACATTTCTCCTGTTTACATCTACACTGATTCATATGCAGTATACAAAGGCTGCACTGAGTGGCTCCCTTTCTGGCAACAGAATGGCTGGGAAGTTAACAGAATGCCAGTGTGGCAGAAAGATAAATGGCAAGAAATCCTAGAAATCGCCAGTAAAGGAAACTTTCTGGTTGGTTGGGTAGCTTCTCACCAAACAGATGGGAATCAAGCAGGAGAATGGAACAACAGAGTTGATGAACTAGCAAGGCTTAGCCCCCTGAAAAAGGAAACTATCTCAGAGGATTGGAATCAACTATTAGAATGGTTACATGTAAAAAGACAGCACACAAGTGCAAAAGATCTGTACCAGGAAGCACACGCCCACGGCTGGCCAGTTACCTGTGAAATGTGTAAAACATGCATGCGAACAGTGCTGCAAGCGACTGGAAAGGCACCCTTTAGAGGATGACCCTCTGCATTTGAGGAAAGGTAAAGGCTTGTGGGAAGTGTGGCAGGTAGATTATATTGGTCCTTTTAAGAAGTCAGGAGGTAAACATTTTGTGTTGGTAGGAGTGGAAATTGTATCTGGGTTGGTACAAGCCGATGCTTTTAAAAGGGCCACAGGAGATAATACAGTTAAAGCTTTGCGGGGTGGTTTGGAACTTTTCCAAAGCCGCAAGAAATTCAGTCTGACAACGGGTCTCACTTTACTGCTAAAGCGGTACAGGATTGGGCCAGAACCAAAGGCATAAAGTGGACCTTTCATACTCCTTACTACCCTCAGGCTAATGGGATCGTGGAAAGGACAAATGGCCTTTTGAAGTGGTTCCTTAAGGCACAGAAAGCAAATTGGGACGGTTGACTGTGGGAGGCTGTTAAGGGGGTAAATGGCAGGTGGGGGGTGAACGGCTGCCCCAAAATCACTGCTTTTTACCCCACACCTCCAAGCATCGTCCCTTCGCTGGAGGGTCCTGACGATCCAAATAATCCATCACATTACCCTGGACAACCTGTCTTAGTGGACCTCCCCACGGTGGGCGAGGTACCACTTGTGCTGAAAACCCCTCTGAACAAATATGCATGGGTAGCCTCTGATGCTCTTGGAAAAGAGCACCGCATACATACACGCTGGATAATCCCTTCATTTTAAACTCCTTTCTGCCTCTCAGTGGCAGGAATTTTTGTTGTTTTTGCTTTTACAGGAGAACCCCAAGGGACATGAGAATCATCCGAAACATGATAGCCTTGCTAATACTTTTCTGCATATTACCACAATTTCATGGACAATCCCCTGGTGAGCAGCTGTGGCCCGAAGCCATCATTCAGCACATTCAGATAGTTCTTGGATCCTATCCCAAGGGTCATTACCCAAGCCTGGTAACCCTAGTGCTGCATGACTCCAAGGTGTACCGCCCGAATGAGTGGAGATGGGACCAGAACGAATTGATCAGAACCCTGACGGGAACGGTTGGTGAGCCAATTGTGGTAACATGCAGAAAGGTGGAAGGAACTCTCCATGAAAAGGCCACCTCCATCATAATTGCTGGAATAAGTGGAAGGAATAAGTTTCCATAATTTATGGAAGGAATAAGTTTCCATAATTTATGGAAACAAGTGGAAGGAATCATCTGGACATCTCTTCAGCAAAATTATGTCCCACGAAGAAATGAGGGTGCTCCAGAATAAAAGGTCCCCTCACTCTGTGCTGCCCCCAGGAACATATTGGTAGTTATGCTTTAGGTCCCAAAACTAACAATGTTGCAATTGCAAGAGGTTGAAATGATGAATCACTTGATTGCTGGTACAGTTTTACTTTGGTCAAACGTACTTACGTGACATGTCGTTGGCAGAATGACACAGCTAGTCCATTTGGATTAAGAGGCTTGGTTTACACATTTAAGATAAGCACTGTACCAAAACCCACACCGAGTGCTGTAATTACGCTCTCTCAGATGCAAGGTGTGAAGCCCTTTTCTAATACACCTCAAAGGGCAGACACCGCAAGGCCTGCACTAAGCACAGTAAACACGGCAATCACACCCCAATTGGCAGAGACAACAAAAAGCCCCTTTACATGGCCCTGGTCTCAAGCCTTCCTGCAATTTACCGGATCTATGGGAGATGTCATGGGTCTAAACTTACTAACAGTAGTTACACATGAAGACAAGTTGTATACTACACAAGAATGGGAGAAACAGAAAACCTGGCAGCTTCAAGGAGTAGTGGGAGAACAAATTAGCATTGGGTGTTGAACGGTTAATGGGTCTGACTATAGCAAAGCAATTGCAATCAGTGTTTCCACAGATCAGGAAAACAAACAGGAGCAAGTCTGTACGCACCCAAGCATACGAGACTGCTGGCACAGTTTTACATTAACTCACACTGCGGAGGTAGTTTGCCTCTGGTCCAAGGATACTCAAGACCTTTCTTTTAAATTTGTAATAAATGCTGAAACCTACTTTACCACTGTCACCACTTCACCCATACCACCGGTCATACTCATCCCAAGAATTTTCAAGATTGGACCTTATATAATCAGGAAAACTGGCCAACAACAAATATTGTTCAATCCAGCATGGTCTCTCAAACAGGTCAAATTGCTAATGCAGAACAATGTTTCAGATATTCAGCCAGCTTGTTCTCTGCTTCTGCAAACTTCTTTTGAAGGTTGGACCACTTGGCTTCAGAAACGAACAGCAACCACTGAGGTCATCTCTGTTACCCTTGGGGACACACCAGTGGCTGCTGTCAAACATTTTGCCAAATTGGGAAAGAGTGAACGTGAATGATCACAAATTGGTGATTGATGCACTTGGTGCTACACAAAACAGTGTTTCCTTAGCCCTCAGCTGTATCCAGGCACAATTATGGATGCAGTCACTCTCTGCTTCAATTATAAGAGAGGGCGAGGAAGGCACTTTCCCCACAGAAATTCAGAAAATAATCTGGGACAGTGCCACTCTGTTTGAGAGAGAATTCCAATCCTGGTGGAATCTGGTGAACTTTACTTATGATCCCATTTCAAACACAGCCACTGCTTTTGTTTTAACCATATGCAATGCTTCTGTACATTTGGTCTTCCCTGTTCTTGCATTAGGATTAAACCATGACGGAGCTGTTCTCTATCCCACAGAACATAGGGGATGGGCCCGTCAGGTCAATGACAAATGGCAAACTGTTAATCTGGAATCTTGTATTGTCCGAGAAAAACAAGGGTTCATCTGTGAAAGCAATGTAATCGTAGCTCAGGATATCTGTTTAGACACAGAGCAAAACATCTGTCATTTTCAGATTCGTCCTAATGAGGCTACTGAAACAGTTCTTATATACATAGGCAATGGATGTGCATGCTTTAGAACCATTTGTGATTTTGTGTTTGTAAAGATATTGTGGTAGACACAAAGAACCACTCAAACTTTTGTGCTTGTAACTTTACTAAGATTGCAGGATGTGATTTCTCTTATGAAGCTCCAGTTACCTCTCACTACCTATTGCAATCCAAATACACACTGATTCACAAGCTGATGCCCACTCCTATCGGAATGAACCTTACCCTGGTGAGACAACTGCTGCTCCATCAGGAGCTGGTTGAAATTCTCGAGAACAAATACACCGGGTTATGGAGAGGGTAAAGCAAGATGCTGAGCATAGGTGGTGGGATACGGTCTTTGGATGGTCACCTACTGCCACAGGTGTCCTGAACAGTGTGTGCCACCCAATTGTTGTTCTTTTGATTCTAATTACGCTTGGTTTTATCTTGTCAGCAGCCCTATTCATTATGAATTGGAAAATGATGAAAAGGCTAAGGAGATTGATGTCTGTAGCCAATGCACACTGCTTAGCCGATGTCCTCTACACTATAGACGTCCCCAAAACATTTGACACAAAACAATTACGAATTGAGCATATGTGCTTAAGAGCAATTTTTGATTCTCAAGTATGATTTACAGAAGGTTATTTTGATCTTTAGTAGATTATTTTAGAAAATAATTTTTAAAAGACAATGCTTATATTATGATTTGTTTGTTGTTTTTGTTTTGAAAATTTGTGATTTGTTTCAACCATTTTTTGAAATTGTTATACAAATGATATTGCTTTAATTAATTAGCCTTTTTTTTGAAATTATTATAATTAGCCATTTTAAGTTGTTATTAAAGAATAACCACGTGTGAAAATTGCTATGATAATCAATATTAATTATGTTTGCTTATTGCTTCTCTTTCCCCTATCTTTTTCTTTTCTTTTCCCTCTCTCTTCTTTTTATCCTCCTCTTTTCTGTCATCCCTATTTTTTCCGGGTTATGCTACTGACATGCAATGAGTTCTGAAGATTCATCAATGACACTCCAGAGTTCTGCTGATGAAGATCCCTCAAGACAATCGTGAGTCACGGGGTCGTGTGAGAGTCTGTCCGAAATGTCCTTCACTCTTGCCTCACAATTGCCATGAAGAAAAGACCACCGAAAAGTTAAAAACTGTTGAGCCAGTGGGGAGGGGAGGTCAGGTGCTTCTCAGCTCATTGTTTCCACAGGTGTTGTTTGCAGAACGCGCCATGCTGAACTTGAAGGGGGCATTCTGCCCTTTCTGAACAATGGATCTGGACCTTCTCCCTGCCTCCTGGCCTGGCTGGTCTGAGCTCCAGGGTGGTGCCCTCCTCCAAAAGAAGACCCCTCTTGTCTGCCTTCAAACACCGTGACAGACAAGCAGAGATGTGAGCCTCTTCATCAAGGAACCAAGACAAGAAATCCCCGTGCAAGAAAACCCCCCTCTCACCTTCTTCCAGAGACTGGGACTGAACAGCCTCCCCGAGCTCGGGGGAGGTGTGCACGAAGGGGGAAAATCTGCCCAGAATAAACACACCTGCGAGCATTGGGCCATGAAAACAATGATTTTGCCTGTTGCTTGGCTAGGACTCTGTGTACCCCCCTTTTTCTGTTCTTTCCCCCTCCTCGGAGACCTTGGTTTTGGCTTCCCTTCCCCCCAACAAAAAAATCATATAATTGGAGCCCTGGTTAGCCGTGCTTTTCGAGATCTCCCCAGACGTGACCCAGTGAGCTTCGACGGCTGGACCCCGAAGGACAAAAGTGGCACCACATCTCGGCAGCTATAACCCCTCTACCCTCCTGTCCTCCCTCTTTCCTTATTTTCTCCCTTTCTTCCCCAGTTCCCCTCACCAACACTTTTCAGTTGTGGTTATTTCAATAAAACTGCATTTTGTTGATTTGTTACTGCAAATCCCCTGTGCCTTGTTGGTTATTTTTGCACCAAAAAATCATTGCGTTACCCGTTAACCGGAATGGACCGTGACAGTAATGAACAGAACAAACACCTGGGAAGTCCAACATTGCATACTGCAAATCATCAGAATTTTGCATTGCCCAATAAAGATAATATTTTTTCAATGGTAAATAGATAACTGCAAATTCTTGACCTGCTAAACTTAACAATCTGGTCCTGGCCTTAATTACAATTTTTGCTCTCATCTCTAAAACTGTGAAAATAGTCTTTGGAAACCTGTAGGGAAGAAAAATCCGCTCTATTATCAACAAAGGATCTCTCTCAGAAGGGTCCCACTGAAAAATGAGACCACAAAGTTGCATTTTTTCTCCTAAAATTGCAAAAAAGAAAGGCTTTTCTGGAATACAGCGATGAGCTTGCTGTCTTTGGAGAGCTTCCATGACCTTGTCAAGGGCTGAACGAGCTTCGGGTGTTAAGGTTCTTGGAGAGTTGATGTTGCAGCTTCCTCTCAGTAAATCGAAAAGTGGACCCAGTTCAACATTGGTGATTCCCAAAACAGGTCTGACCCAACTGATTTCTGCCAAAAGCTGCTGTAAGCCTTGCACATTGCTGACACTGCTTCTGAGCTGTATCTTCTGTGGTGTTATTGTTTTCCCAGTCATCTCCCATCCAAGATACTTCCAGAGTGGAACTTCTTGGATTTTTGTAGCAGAAATTGCAAGTCCAGCATTTTGGATTTCAGTAACAATACTAACACGGGTTTTCTCCATCTCTGCCTGCGTTGGAGCCGCGATGAGCAAATCATCCATGTAGTGCAGAATCAAGGATCTGGGAAACTTACGTCAAACTGGAGACAAAGTTTGGGTAACAAAATACCGGCAAATTAAAGGTGAGTTCTTCATTTTTTGGGGCAATGATTTCCAGTGATATCTCTGCATGGGTTCTCTTCGATTGATGATCGGAACTGAAAAAGCAAATCTTGGAGCATCATCAGCATGAAGTGGAATGTGGAAAAAACAGTCCTTT